GCTGCGACACGGCACTCCTCGTCGTACCAGCTGTTCTTTTGTACTTTCCGAAAACAATGGTTTCGGTTGCGGCTGTACGTAAAGAGTTTGAAATGCCGTCCCACAGTTCCCTTATACCGAGTTGTTGACGAGTCCTCTCAGAGAGCAGGAGTGCAAGGCAAGTAGAAAATCGTTTTGCTGTCTGTTGTGATTGCAGCTTCTCGACGTCGAACCTTCCTTGTGTTTAATGGCGTGCGTTTTTTGCTGCACAGAGGCGCGTGCGAATCTTGGCTGCAACAAGATAGTGGTCCGAGTCGATATTAGGACCTCGCAGTGCACGCAAATCTAAAACACTGGAGACGTGTCTTCCGTCTATCACAACATGATCGATCTGGTTGGTGGTTTTTCGATCCGGAGACAACCACGTAGCTTGATGAAACTTACAGATAACCATATTTCGGGCCCCGGCTAAGTCGATCACCCTTCTTTGCCCACCCTGGCGTTAAAGTCGCCAAGCACGATTTTGACACCGTGGCGGGGGCAGCTTCCATAAGTGCTTTCCAAACACTCATAAAAGGCATCTTTGGTCAAATCGTCTTTCTCTTCCGTCGGGGCATGGGCGCAAATCAGCGGTATGTTGAAGAACCTCGCTTTGATGTGGATTGTGGCTCGACGTTCATTCACCGGGGTGAATGATAGTACTCGGCGACGGAGTCTCTCTCCCACCACGAATCCCACACCAAACTTGCGCTCCTTTATATGGCCCCTGTAGTAAATGCCACAAGGACCTACTCGTCTCTATCCTTGTCCCATCCATCGCATTTCTTTGGACGGCGATGATGTCAGCCTTTATTTTTACGAAGACGTCAACCAGCTGGGCAGCAGCACCTTCCCAAGGGACCGGACATTCCAGGTGCATGCCCTCAATTCGTAGTCCTTTTTTCGTTTTCGTCATCAAAAGTGAGGTCTCTCATCCGAGGCTGTTGTTGCGTTTCATTGGGTTGGTTTTTTTACGTCGCGGGTCCCAAACCCAGCGCACAACCCTATGCAGGAAATGTTTCGCCTTCTCTCTTTAGCTCGCCTTCAAACGGATGTTCTTAGGCTACAAAGAGGATACTTGGTCAAGGACCGGAAGTCGTGAGCTGCTTGAGTCATATGTAAAAGAATTGTTTCTGGCCACTCCCAAGTGAATGGCGATCAGAAAACTTTTCTCACTTGCGTGAACTTCTACACATGACTCCATCCTTCATCCCCTTTTAAACAACTAAAAGTGGAAAATTTTTGTCAAAAACCCAATTTTTTTTTTTTTCAAGTTGTAAAAAATTCGGGCAATTGCTTCCTAGTACCAGAATGTTTCAATATATAACTATAAACCCCAGAAACTTCGTTTTAATCAATTAATTCTTTCCCTCCTAAAGATATCCCCAAAAAAAATCGATTTTTTGAAGCTTCTAAATCAGGCCCCCCTTAATTCTACCAAATTTCTTAAAAAATTATCTGACAGCTAGCTAAATTAGCAATACTCCAAGTATTGTAATTCTAATAATTTACTACTATAACCTTTGTTAATAAATTTAAAAGTCTTAATTTGTTCTTAAAAATTGTTGTCCTTCCTCTCAAAGTAATCCCCTTAGATCCAATACATTTATGTCAACGTCTTTCCCAATCCTCGTAAAAGTTGTTAAAATAAATTTTTGGAATAGCCTTCAATGCGTATAACGGTTCACGTTTTATGTCTTCAATCGACTCAAAACGATTTCCCCGGAGCAGTCGTTTGAGTTTGCTGAATAGCCAGAAGTCACGCGGCCTCATTTTACGAATAGTTTCGCGATAACGACACTCAAATAGTATTCCTTATTGACAGTTTGGACGGTCAAAAGGAATTTATGGGGCGCCACACCTCGATTTCATGATAATCTGGTAGTCACATACGAGACACTGTTTTTCGAAAAATTTAGTGATTTTAAAACCAATCGGTTATTCCCTTTTCTTAGGCCCAAGTGAACTTTCAAAATGGTTTTAACTGATCCTTCCGATATTCCAACAAAGCTAGTGAGATCTCTGTTGATGTTGATGGTCGTCTTGAATAATTTGTATCAATCAAAAATTCAAAGCTTGTTTGTTGAAGAATTTCACTCATCGCAAAAGTCGTCGAATGCACTTTATGTACTTCATTGTGCCCGAAAACTTCAATTTGCAAAAGCACGAGTTAACAGTTTTTCATGCGTGCTAAAGTCTACTGACCCAAGCGTTTTGACACTACAGCAAGGTAAAACATTTGTAATTACAATTCTACAAATTGATAATGTTTTGGGTTTCTTATGAATTGTAGTTATCGCCAAAAAACTGTGGAAAATTCATCAGTGACATTCTTGGAGTGTTTTCATTTAATATTCAATATCTACTAGTTATACCATACAATACTTATGAGAGATATTCGAATAACTTTACCAACTACACATATTATCATATGAAAGCTTTGTGTCATTTGCGTTCAATATTTAATAATCTATCTTTTTTCTCTTTTTAGGATCAAAACCTAGGGATTATAAATGCTCAAAATGGAAATGTAATATTCGTTTATATTTTACTTGCATCTCAATTAAATATCATTTACAATATAATTACAGTGAAGTGGGGAATCCCTCAACGCCCCCTACTACATATAGCGAAAATGCCAAAAATTTCTTCTCGTTTCACTGGAAAGGTTTAGTCGTATTCCTAACACCACTCCTTGCCCTCCCTGTCATCCTGATGGACAACACGCCGGTAAGTAAAATTAAAAGTTTAATAATCTCCTCCGAAAATGGTGTTTCCATTGCTAAGAAAGTGTGCTTAAAATAAAGTAGTTTGTTTCAAACTACTATAAAAATACAAAAGGAGCTTGAATAACAAACCTCAACTCTTCTAGGCATATCGCTGCATGTATTTACTGTTGGTTATGGCAGTTTATTGGGTTACTGAGGCATTACCACTTTACGTCACCTCTATGATCCCAATAGTCGCGTTTCCCATTATGGGGATAATGGTAGGTGATATTCAAAAGAATGTATGTCATTGCTTCATAATTCGTTTTAATTCTAGAGCTCAGACCAGACTTGCCGATTGTATTTCAAGGATACCCTAGTGATGTTCATGGGTGGCATTATGGTGGCTCTTGCAGTCGAGTATTCAAATTTACATAAACGCTTGGCATTACGAGTTATTCAGTTGGTTGGTTGCAGTCCAAGAAGGTATGTATGCGTGTCATCAGTAAAGTGTGTATGCAAATGTAAACGAAAATGTGTTAAATTATAATTCTGATGATACAAATGTTCACCTGCAAATAAGTTATGAGTAATATGGTTATTTAAACGATTTATTTAAAGATTACATTTTGGGCTTATTGCTGTGACAATGTTTATATCGATGTGGATTTCCAATGCTGCCTGCACAGCAATGATGTGCCCAATTATACAAGCTGTTTTGGAAGAACTTCAAGCGGTAATACTTATTGAATACAAATGAATACTTAATATACATATGTATCTGTTTTGGATTTCGCAATCAGCAAGGATTATGTAAAATGACACAGGAGCCTAAATATCAAATTGTCGGAAAAAAAAATAATACTGCAGAAGAAGAGTAAGTTCAAAGCATTTTTTAAACTGAAGATTCCATTATTTTGATTATTATTTTGCTACCCAGTACCATACACTAGTTTTGTCCACCAAATGGTTGTATGTATCATCTAAAAATAATCGAGTAAAGTATAAGAGTATACATATGCATATATGATCAGGATGACGAGACAAGTTGAAATCCGAATGACTGTCCATCTGTCCGTCCGTGCAAGCAGTAATTTGAGTAAAAATTGGGGCAATGTAATGAAACTTGATAAATTTGATAATTCGACCACTGCGACGCCCACAAAACGCCATTAAAAGAAAGCATACCGATTTCAAACAAATTCGATACCTGACACTACTTTAGCACTCTTATGTCAAAGTTTAAAAGTGGACGAAAACGGACTATGGCCACACCTACTTTCCATATAACACAATTTTAAATTGCATTTGAAACTTTTACTTTCCACTATAAAAATCAAGAATGAACTAATTAATATATCAGGAGAAAACTTTACACGAATAGTGCATTTGAGCTGAGCCACCTTATAACTAAAAATTGCGTAAGTCAAACTAAATTTTTTCAAGCCCCTAAGTACTGAATATGTGGAACCAGTGCTTATAGTTGCCTTTTTACCGCAAATATCGGTCAAATTGTAAGATATACATATAATTGAAATTCAGAGAGAATCCTGTCGCGAATGCCCGGGAGATTTTATAGCGCATATATCGGCCAATATGTGAGTTATCTTAATAAAAGTAAGAAAAAATGCTGTTCTTATAACGGTGCATATTTGTACTTAGAATGAAGAAATTGGTCCTAAACCCATAAAAATAGCAGGCCTTATGTACCTGCAGGTACTTCCCAGTCTTTGACCTTTGCAAGTAGCAAGTAGCACCCGAACTTAGTCCTTACGTTGTTAACGTTTTATTAATTTATTGTACTATACTTAGCTATATTTGTGAGCATATTGCAATCTGTTTAAATTTGTTTCATATATCCCTTTCAGACCACCATATCCATCGAAAATGACATTGTGCTACTTTTTGGGTATCGCTTATGCTTCGTCTATGGGAGGATGTGGCACTATTATTGGCACCGCAACAAATTTAACTTTTAAAGGCATTTATGATGGGTAAACATTGCATGTTTGTTCTGTTTTTGAAACCTTTTTTCATTTATAATTTTTAAAATATCCACCACTTCACAGTCGTTTTCCAACATCTTCGGAACAAATGGACTTCCCCACATTCATGTTCTATTCAGTACCTTCAATGTTGGTATACACGGGTCTGACGTTCATTTGGCTACAATGGCACTTTATGGGGTTATTCCGACCAAAGAGCAAAGAAGCTGAGGAAGTTAGAATGGGTCAGAATGGCGCTGATGTTGCAAAAAAAGTTATCGATCAACGTTATAAGGAATTGGGTCCAATGAAAGCGCATGAAATTCAAGTTATGATTCTTTTCATCTTCATGGTTGTTATGTATTTTACACGTAAGCCCGGAATCTTCCCTGGTTGGGCTGACTGGCTCAACGCAAAGTAATTGAAGTTTTCAATATAATAAAACAAAAATGCCTAAAATTTTTTTATCTTCTCAGAGATATTCGTAATTCAATGCCAACGATATTTGTAGTAGTCATGTGCTTCGTTTTGCCAGCAAATTATGCCTTCTTACGTTATTGCCTATGCAAACGTAAGTTAATTAGTTTCTTGTAGATAAATATACATGCTTTCAATTTATCTTTAATTAACAGGTCCGTTCACTACTGCTCCCACACCATCGTTGGTTACATGGAAATTTATTCAATCAAAGGTACCATGGGGTCTTATTTTCTTGCTTGGTAAGTTTTTTGTTGGAAGTTATACTTTCCAAAATATTACTTATGTGCATTTAATTTATACACATAGCCAAAAAGAATGATGAATATTACAACTGATCTTTGCATTTAAAGTATCATACTTACATAAACGCTTACGTATATTTCATACATAGGTGGAGGTTTCGCACTCGCTGAGGGTAGCAAAGTCAGCGGTATGGCCTCCATGATTGGCAACGCCCTGGTTGTTTTAAAGAGCCTTCCCCACCCCCTTCTGCTATTGGTCGTGATTTTAGTGGCTGTGTTTTTGACGGCGTTCAGCTCTAACGTAGCAATCGCAAATATTATTATTCCCGTATTAGCTGAAATGGTAAAAGCGTCGATCTGTTTAAAGGGCACACCTAATGTGACATCCTAAAAAATGCAAAATTTGTGAAACCAAAAAAACTAATGTATCAATTATTTTAAAGTTTTAAGGGTACATTTATAGGTACATAGTGTAAGAATACACACTAAAATTCGAGGTAAATGTGATCCCTAACGGGACTAAATAGGGTCCTAGTTTTTGCCCTATCAAAATTCGATTTTTATCAGATAAAAAAATTGAAGAACATTGCTATATACCAAAAAAATGATAGTTCGAAAGATGCTAATTTGGGAAAAACTTGTTTAAAAATTTAAACACTGTAGCTAAAAAAAATATTTGAAATAACAATTTAAAATTATAGAATGTTATTTTTCAATGTTGAGATTATCTATATGTATAAAAAAAAATCGAAGTTTCACACTGGGTGTGCCCCTTAAAACAATTATAAAATTATAAGGTATATAAAAATTCCATGTTTTTAGTCAGTGGCAATTAAAATCCATCCTCTGTACTTGATATTACCGGCTGGTCTTGCCTGCAGTATGGCTTTCCATTTGCCAGTGAGTACACCACCTAATGCACTGGTTGCCGGCTATGCAAATATTAGATCAAAAGACATGGTAAGTAATAAAAGTTATCATATTAGTATTATTATTCAATAAAGCTTGTTTTAAATTAATTATATCAAATATCTAATAAATAGTTCTAAATATTATAACTTTAATTTATATACAATAATTATAGGGCAAGCTTTGATGTGAATTCATTTTCGAATTGGCTAATTAATCGAACAAATTTAACATCTCACTCTCATAACACTCGATTTTTAATACTTTCATTATTTCTTGTCCTAATACAAGCTTAGCAATATGTTCATATGGGTTCGGAGTTTATTATTCCATTGAATAACTTTACAGTTTATTGTCGCTTCTAAATAAATTATGGAAATGATGAATATTTATAAGTCAATGATTAAATATTTTAGTGAAGAGGCGCTTATTATAAGAATTAATTATTGCTATTCAATGTTTTCATTAAAATTAAAATGAGTTTAAATTTGTACAGGCAATCGCTGGTATTGGTCCAACAGTCATCAGTATAGTCGTGTTGTACGTTTTCAGTCTCACGTGGGGTGCGGTGGTGTACCCTACCTTGAATTCATTCCCCGATTGGGCGATCACACCGGTTTTAAATGCAACTACACATTAATCGTCTACGCTGCCTTTTGGGTACAGATTTTATAGTGTGCGATGTATACATATTATCTAAATTTTCAAAAAATATTTATGTCAAATATACAAATTTTGACGTCATTAAGTAACTGAATGAAAATAAGTGTCTACAAGAAGCATTAGATTTTGCTACCGCATAAAAAAAGTGCCTGGATATTGATGTCACCTTAATCCTCGTTATGCAAAGCAATTAAATACCGATTATGCCAACTTGATTTGAGGTTTTCAAGTCATTAACATCTGTTTTATCTGATATCCAAATTGATAAAAATAGCATAGCAATTATATATATAATAAATATTTTGTATGAATTTGGACACTTAAATGAAAGTTAAACTGATACCGATATTTACATATACATATGTATTTATGTTATATTAGTATATAACTGTATATAATAAAAAAGTTGTCCTGATAATTATATATCCAGCTTTAAATCAAAAAGAACAACGCCATCAAATTGTGACTTCTGCAAACCTCATATCTATGTTACTTATGCGTTTACACTGCATTTATAGTAGAAAGAAATGAAAGTACGAATAGTTTTATAATGAATAGTCAAATGTTAAAATATAAAATACACTTACAATATTTACATTTGATATTTAAATGTAAGGGATCTTGGAATTGACAAAATGCAACAAGTGTACTAATTATTGGCAATATATACATATGTATGTGCGTGTTACAAATATTTATATGTAGACTGTATACTAAAAAATAGACTGAAAAATGGTGCAAAAGAGTCTAAAATTTGAAGATATTTGTTATAGTACAGAATACAAAATTATTTTATTTTCGCACAACATTGTACTTATAAATTTTTGAAAATATTGTAAATTTGTAAGTATTGTATTCGTTATATATTCAATCATAATATTAAACAACAAATAAAGGCACAAAAACTATTTTCTAATTACTTACTTAACGGAGTATCAAATCCATATAGAACATATATTTTATAAAAGACAAGACTTTTCAACTCGTCACCGTAAAATAACAGACACTATAAAGCTTCATCTGAGAATAAAACAATCCGATAAGTATATTCTTTGAGTGAAGAAGGGCCAATAAGATCGGTTTAAATTGAAAATTTATTTGCTCGTAATTTGGAGGTTCAAAAATGAATAAATAATTTCAGGTGTAGACCAAACTTTAGATTAAACAAGTAAGGCAGAGCTAAGTCGTTGCGTAACCGAGCATTTTATACATTCGTATTTTACTATCAAAGCCGGAGAAATGTTGTCAGATGTTGATATAAGCCCAACCAAAGAGGCTAAACTTAATACAAATAGATTGGGTCTATAAGATAAAAATCAAACAGGGAAACGGAACTCATTACAGAGGCATATGGCTCATAAAGCCTACAGTAATAGCAAAAATAATTATTTAGTATGTACATAGTTATGCTGGGATTATCCTTTGACCAATTTTTTTCTATTAAACTTTGATATATTCAATATTAGACGTTCACATAATTTTGCTAAGATATCTAAACAAACCAAAATTCTGAAATCCTTATATTGGGTATAAAGGTAAAATTGTTGTCGTTAGGTACATTATTATCAGAAAAACATTCTTTCCGAATTTTAAATATATGTACATCTCACGGGTTGACCAAAATTTACGGTAAAAATTCGGATAGATATTGGAGTACAAATATTCCTTGTAGTTCAATTTTGACAATTTTTAGTCATATCTTAAATACACTATTTGAGCAAATTTTTTTCCGATATATTCATTGATTTGTATACTGCAAAAAGAAAGAAACATATGGAATTTAAAATTGTGTTATATGAGAAGTAGGCCTGGTTGCATTCCGACAGGGCATTTTCATAATATAACATTGGAATATCAAGATAGTGTTATGTACCAAATTTGGTTGAAGTTGGTCAAAAAAGTCTTAGGATATGCGAGTGCAACTAAAGATATCAAATTTTGACACAGGCCTCCTGTACCAACAAATTGTAAAAATTGATGGTATGTACGTAGTTTTGAACACAACCGTTGAGAAAAGCATTTTTTGAGCAAGCTTAGTTGATTTGGCTTTAGTAGTTTAGTAAACATATAGGGAAAGTAATGGGACTGATTGTCTTCCTCCGCGACTGTACTTCGGAGCGTGCGCGCACAGACTGGATTCGGTAGGGGATGTTTCTAGCTAACGAACGAGTGGCTGGTCAGTTGTCTCTGAACACCTAGAGAGTCGGGGCAAACATTTTCGGTGCAAACCAAAAATGTAGCGTTCGTTAGAACAGAGGTACGCGATTAAAATCTGTGTAAAACTCGGTAAATCTACGACAGAGACATTTGATATGATCAATCAGGCTTACCCAGATGTTCCTTTAGCAAGAAATAGTGTGATTTGGTGGCACTAGACCTTTGTGAGGGGCGGGAAGAAACCGCTGAAGAAGACATTTTGCTCATATTCCTTTTTGATATCAAAAGCATAGTCCACCATGAATTTGTTCGTGCTGGACAACCCGTCAACGCCAAGTTTTACGTGGAAATCCTCGAAACACTTAAACGAGGGGTCAATCGGCTTCGACAAGACATCACAGCCGATTAGAAGTTACACCACGATCTCAACGCTTCCGCAGACGTCACATAGCCCCGATGAAAAGCAAGGCTTTTGAGACGAGAGGGGATCTAAGTAGCAAGCCCCTCGGCTCTCAAGCCTATTCCGGAGAATGCCTTCCGTGACGCCTTTAATGTTGGAAATCGCGCTGACAGCGAATTGTAACGATTGGTTAAATAATTTTTTTTTGAATCGACTCAGTCCTATTACTTTCTGGACAAACCTTGTATACAGTAAACCTATCGAAGGTCGGTTCCATATCGAATTTTTTTAATATTCAGCTGCAATACTTTGTATCAAATTAAGGTTTTGAGTCTTCATTTGGAGCTTATTTATAGCCCCTTTTACGATTTCGCTCAATAGCATTTTTTGTGTAATGAACCGATTCCTCTTACCTGCTATCAACTGGATGCCAAAGAACACATGCACTCAACTTACTTACAAGGATGAACAGACAAACTATAACTCAACCCATCTTGTCATCCAAATCCCATTAAATATTATAAAATATTTTAAAGCTTACCATGTTAATCCATTACCTCTTTCCCGAAATTTATAGATTTTTTGTCTCTTTACTATTTACACCACCTCAAAGTAACCAAAGACCTGCAATGATCCATTCGTCTTTATTGGGGATGATTATATAGTACATAGGGCATGATCCGCGTCATCTTCTGCTTTATTCTTGCACCGTCATACATTATAACTACTATGTACAGTCGATAAGTTATTGGTAAGGCAGAGTACTGATTCATGTAACGCCTGGGAGCAAACTCTACTTTTGGTAGTTTCACAGCTCCGTTTTAATTTTAAATTTCTTAACAATTCAATATCTTAAACATATGTATCTGAGCAAATAATAAATGCCTACATAAAAAAGAAAAAAAAGGGCTGCAACGGTACATTTTATACTCTTTCAACTTCCAATGATCAAAGCCGGAGAAATACCTTCAGTTTTTGACAAAACTTTTTATTATATTAAACATGTTTCGAAAGAATTTAACATTCATTATAGCTCATAGACCCAGTTGGCGAAAATTATATTGAAGTCATCCTCAAATGGTATACATACATATCTACGTATGTATCTGTGAAATAAATACAACCACAGGTTTTTATTATATTTAGTTGATGTGAAAAACGACAACCCAAGTAATATATTAGAAATATAAGGTTTAGATCAAGGTCTAATAAAAATGTTTGTTGTACTTCGTATTCCACTCTTTTAAGCCAAAGACCCACAGAGCTTTTATTTTAAATACACTAGAGCAC